GGTCTGTATGTGGGATCTGAACCCTCGGCAGGAGCGCCACCACGCTCCCAAGCGGCGCACTGTAGCAGTGTGCCACTGGGCCGGCCCACACAAATTTGAGTCTTAACTTCTTAGCTGTCATCTCAAAGGGGAAAACATGGTAAGTTACAAAAACCAACAGTATCCATCTGTTAAAACTAAATAAATTTAACAGAGTTTATTTGAGGAAAGGAACACTTAATTAATTGGGAAGTATCAAAACTAAAAAAAGGTCAAAGGCTCCACTCACGGCATGAGCTTTTATAGGCTGAACATGAAAGCAAAGTAAAGAAATTACTTTTTTGGCTACAGTTAAGCTATTTGGATATGGTCTGATAGGAGGACCCTAGTTGTATAACCAATCAGCTGGTTGGCTGTTTGTGATTGGCTGAGGCTGGTCTTTTTTAATAAGTCAGTTATAAGAAATGCCTCCAAGTTAAGTTTTAATTTAATTTAATTTGCTTACATAAGAACTCTAGGTGCAGGGACAAACTCAGGCTAATATCTTCCTTCTTATCTGCTTTAACACTTTCACAAGGTTAGAAACAAATGAGTACTTCTGTGATTCCTGAAAAAGTTCAACATAGAATTACCACGTGATCTTCGATTTCACCACAAAGTACATACCAAAATAATTGAAAACAGGTCTTCAAAGAGAATTCAGTTTACGACGGGATTACCCCTCAATTTATGATGGGATTACATCCCAGTAAAGCCATCATAGATTGAAAATATCATACGTCAAAAATGCATTTAATACACCTAACATACCAAACATCATAGCTCAGCCCGGTCTATCTTAAACATGTTCAGAACACTTATATTAGCCTACAGTTGGGCAAAATCATCTAACACAAAGACTATTTTATAATAAAGTGTTGAATATTTCATGTAATTTATTGAATACTGTACTGAAAGTGAAAAACAGAATGGCTCTATGGGTACTCAAAGAATGGTTTCTACTTTTGTACCATTGTAAAGTCAAAAAATCATAGGTGGAACTGCCGTAAATCAGGGACTGCCTGCATGTGTACATCAATGTTCATAGTAGCATTATTCACAATAACCAAAGGTGGAAACAACCAAAATGTCCATCAATGAATAAATGGATAAGTAAAATGTGGTATAGTCATATAGTGAAATATTATTCAGCCATAAAAAGAAATGAAGTACTGATACATGCTACAACATGGATGAACCTCGAAAACATTATGCTAAGTGAAAGGAGCCAGATATAATGGATCATATAATCCATTAATAGTTAAATCTATAGAGACAAGAAGTAGATTAGTGGTTGCCAGGGGCTGGAGGGAGATAGGGAATGACTGATTAATGGGTATGGGGTATCTTTTGGGGTGATGAAAATGTTTTGGGACTAGAAGGATGTGATGGTTGCACAACATTGTGAATGTACTAAATGCCACTAATTGTACACTTTAAAATGGTCCATTTTATGTTATGTGAATTTCACTTCAATAAAAAGAAAACAAAACAAACTAGTTGGTCTGGAAAATGCAACTATTTCTAATACGGAAACCAGAAAGAACATTCTTTAAGGAAATGAACCCTCAGCAGTATCTATTTGAACATAATACTGGGTTTCATATCATTCTCTAGAAGGTCCTTCAATATAAGCTAATATCATGACTGTAAAGGGCAACATGGTGAAGGGTGTTCTACTGGGAACTGCGGGGAAGTGGGTAGGGTGGTTGGGTTTTGGTAATGTGGTCCAAGCTTCCTTGGTTTTTGATGACCAGGCTTAAGGCAGAGATAAAATTAAAAACATCTAGAGGAATAGATGGACTGCTGTCTTTCTGGAATCCATCATAAATGTTTCCCTCAGTCAAATTTTTGGAAGCTATGGAGCAGGAGTTAGTTTGAGATTGCAATCCCAAGTATCTGGCTGCAGTTAACAATAGAACTTTGTATCAGTCCATTTCTGTCACTTATAATAGAATATCTGAAACCAGGTAATTTATAAAGAAATAGAATTTATTTCTTACAGTTTTGGAAGCTGAAAAGTCCAAAGTTCAGTGAACACATCTGGTGAGGGCCTTCTCCTATGCGGGTTATGACATAGCGAGAAAATGGCTGAGAAAGAGAGAGCTAAGCTTCTCATTCGCTCTCCTTATGAGGCCATCATAACCACAACATGACCACCCATTAAACCATCAACAGGTTAATCCATTCATGAGGGTACAGTCCTCACAATCTAATCACCTCTTAAAGGCTCCACCTTTTAATGACCATAATTGAATTTCCAACCCTCTTAATTTCCCACTGTTATAATGGAGATTAAGTTTCAGTGAGCTTTGCAGACAGGGGGCAGGGGGCATTTAATTCACAGCAAACCTCATGCTATAAAAGTTAGCCAATTTGGAAGCAGAAGTAAGACCCATTGGCAAATGAGAACATCAGAAGTGAGTGTGACAGTGCTGAAGCAGTGAGGGTTCTCTTGAGAAAGTGTTGGGTATGCACAAGTACCCAAAGGGCAATTATAACTCCATATAGTTCTGCGCAATAAATCATGCTCTCAGTATCTTGAGAAAGGAGAGATTTCTTGTAGAATAAAAAAGACCATGTATGTGAAAGATTTTTGTGAAGTGTGAAGTTGTATATCAATTCGCAGTAGCTGTCATTGTTATTAATATCTGGTGGTAATACCTAACATATAAACAACATATTTGAACAACATTTTCACATGCAGTGTTAAGTTATCATTCTCAGCAAATGTTCATTGAATATTAATTGTTTACCAAGTAGGGTAAGCAATAATTTCAATATTTTAAAAAAGAATAAGTTGAGGTTTTGAGTGTCTGAGATTTGCCCTTAGTCACATAGCTTGGAGACTCAAGACCTTTGATTCCTAGTTCATTCCAAACCTAGCTTCAACCAAGGACTGAAATGACCAAGAACTATGTTTACCAAAGCAGTCAATCTTCATTAATTCTTACATGTGATTATTTAGTGACTTGGGCAAAGTTTGACCATTTCTATTTCTGCCTGTGCAGTAGCATTTTCTTTAATTGCTGTTACATGGAGTTCTCAGGAGCCATGCTACCGAAATGGATGCACACAATGCTTGACTTTACATTATTAACTAATATTTATTGAGTACACACTATGTGTAAGAAATGGTGCTAAGCATTATGCAGAAATATTTCCATTAATACTTCAAATAGACTTCTGAGGAAGGTTTATCATCCCTCCATTGTGTATACAGCAACTAAGTCTCAGAAAGATTAAGTAACTGGACTAAAGTCACATGCGGAAATATAAATGGTCCTACAGTCCTTTTAAGAGGACATTTAAAGGTTTATGAAAATCAGAGGCTGAACCAACAAGTTTCTATGATTTCTACCCGAAGAGCCAGAAGGGTGTGAAACAAATGTTGAACTACGAATAAAAGTAAAAGATGGGGCTGAGTTCATGTCCAGTTTTATTTAATTCCAAAACTCGCAGCCTAACCATTCTGCTACAATGAGACACAGGTCTGGTAAGTTTGTAATAATTTGACTCCCCACCCAGAAAATTATGGTAATAAATTTTGGGTCATCATCATAGCCACTATAGTTTACTGTGCCAAACACTCTCGTAAGTTGTTTAATGATCATAGATTCAGGAGCAATTGTAAATTTTAAAGTCTCGGGGATAAAAAACAAGGAAGTGTCCCTCCACATAAAAGCTTTTTTGGAGGAGATGCCAAGCTTTTATTAGGAGAAGTCAAAAATTAAGTTTACTAAGTATTATTCTGCTGTTGGATTGGGGATGTTGAAAAGCTAGTACCTCTGCTTTTGATTAACACATTTTTCTATACAGATGTGTATAATGTTATAGGATATAACTCACTTTACCAAAAATGTTTTTGGTGTGTCAGATATTGTGCGAGGTGCTGCCATATGGCTGCTAGGGTATAGGTGTCCAGGATATGCCAGTTCTTCCAGAGTTTGAACAAATGGGAAGAGGTCTTTACCAAACTGAGCAAATTTTACCTCTCTGGGATTCATTTTCTATTCTGTAAATGAGAGGGTTGGATTTCCAGGTCTTAACTGTGTTTTCTTTTTTGACTGTGTATAAAGGTTTCTCCGTCTCACCTGGCACTATTCCCATATCAAAGTATTCATCTCATGCCATCATAGCTTTGCAATTCATTAATTCATTCAACAAATGTTTACTGAGATTCTACTAGTGTCGTTAATATAGAAGCAAAGTTTCTTTGCACATGGAGCTTACAGTTCAAAGGGATAAGATCATAAATGAAATAATTTTTAAATAAACAAGCAATATTTATCAACAAACAAGTAACTATTGGCAGAAAAGGTGCTTAGAAGGAAATAAATAGGATGATCTGTTATGTCTTTCTTTCAGAGTTATAAAATGAAGCTGATGACAGGCTCTTTCATTTCCAAAAATGATGACCTACCAGTGAGGGAAAGTCACTTGTGTGTGTGTGTGTGTGTGTGTGTGTGTGTGTGTGTCAAGCGGAAAGACAAACTGAAAAGAGAGAACCTGGAGTCAGGAAAATTGCCCATCTCGTCTGGCACCCAGGATTTCTTTCAGTCTCTTTAGGCTCCCTCAGCAGCAGGAATCAGGATGAAAAGAAAACTAATGCCATGAACTTCAAGACAGATTTCTTTTCAATTATTACTGCCCGGTGGCAGGAATCTGGGAAGAAGTCAAGGTGTGGTTTAGTAAGAGACAGCTTCCCGGAACGGCACGTGGAAGGGCAGGGCTGAGAACAGCAAGAAGGGACAAAAAGGAGGGGGAGAACGCGCCGGCACCCCAAAGTGAGAGTGTGGAAACATTCGCCGCCACGGGAGCCGCGCGCCGCTCAGGTGGCCCTTTCCCGCTCAGGTGAGCTGCTCCTGCGCCTCCCATTGGCCGCGGCTCCCGTGGCGCTAGGAGGGCGACGCAGCCCGGTCTAGTTCAGGGTCTAGGGCGGCGCGTCACTTCCGGTAGCGCGGAGCTTGTAAAACACCCTGGAGAGAAGATGGCGGCGGCGGCGGCTTCGGCGCCTCAGCAGCTCTCGGACGAGGAGCTTTTCTCTCAGCTCCGCAGTTACGGCCTGTCTCCGGGCCCGGTGACGGAGAGCACCCGCCCGGTCTACCTGAAGAGGTTGAAGAAACTTCGAGAGGAAGAGCAGCAGCGGCAGCAACGGTCGGGGGGCCGCGGCAGCAAGACGCGGAACAGTAATAACAATAACACGGCAGGCACCGCGGTCGCAGCCGCGGGACCGCCGGCGGCCGTGGGGATTGGGGTCCGGCTGGTCTCGAGCGACCTCTCCTACTTACGGACCCCTGGGGGCCTGGGCCGAATCTCGGCCTCGGGCCGGGAGAGCCCCCTGCGAGGGCCCGGGGGCGCCTCGGCTGCCCCCGCGGCTGGCAGCAAAGTGCTGCTGGGCTTTAGCTCGGACGAGTCGGACGTGGAGGCCAGTCCTCGGGACCAGGCCGGCGGAGGCGGGAGGAAAGACCGGGCTTCTCTTCAGTACCGCGGGCTCAAAGCGCCGCCGGCGCCCCTGGCCGCCAGTGAGGTGACTAACAGCAACTCGGCCGAGCGACGGAAGCCCCACTCGTGGTGGGGGGCCAGGAGGCCGGCCTGCCCCGAGCTGCAGACCCCGTCGAGGAAAGATGGAGCAGTGGGGGACGAGGAAGAGCAGGGAGAAGACGCTGTGGAGAGGAACCCGGAGGCCGAGGAGCCGCTGTGGGCGACCCCGACCGTGAATGGCAGCCGTCTTCTCTCCTACAGTTGCCGGGAAAACTACTCGGACTCGGAGGAAGAGGACGACGACGACGTGGCTTCCACCAGACAGGTATTAAAGGAGGACTCCCTTTCCCGGCATCGGCCCAGACGGAGTCATAGTAAGCCTCTCTCTCCGCTGACTGCTAAATCTGCCGGCAGCCGGCTGGAGACTTCGGTTCATGGAGGGGGAGGACTTGGGATGAATGACAGGGCGGCGGCTGCTGGGAGTCTAGATAGGAGCCGAAACCTCGAAGAAACGGCAGAGCAGGGAGGAGGGTGTGATCAAGTGGACTCCGGCCCCGTTCCTAGATACCGTGTTAACGCTAAAAAACTGGCCCCGGCACTTACCGACACGGACTCAACCTTGGATTCATCGACAGGCTCCCTTTTTAAAACCAATAATCATATCGGCGGTGGGCCCTTCAGTGTGGACTCCCCAAGGATTTATTCCAACAGCCTCCCTCCCAATTCGCCGGTGGCCGCCTCTAGTTCACTCAGGATCAATCACGCCAATCACACAGGCTCCAATCATACTTACCTGAAAAACACATACAATAAGCCGAAGCTTTCCGAACCTGAAGAGGAACTTCTCCAGCAATTTAAACGGGAGGAGGTGTCCCCAACAGGGAGTTTCAGTGCCCACTACTTGTCGATGTTTCTCTTAACTGCTGCCTGCTTATTTTTCCTAATATTGGGACTGACTTACTTAGGAATGAGAGGGACAGGAGTATCCGTGGATGGAGGACTCAGCAGTAAGTATTAAACCCTACTGGTAAGGTAACAAAGGGAATGTTGCTGGTGGTCTGCTTTAACCGCATTTAGCATTTTGTATGAGGTGACTTTTACCTGCAAGAACGTGGGTTTAACAGTGAAGCGCAACAGAGTATGTGCCATCTTTTTTTTAAAGAAAGAACAGTATCACCATTATCAGAATGACATCCTGTGGCTGGTTTTAAAATTTTATTGTGAAATTAAAAGCAACTTATAAAACAACAAAATATTACAAGCCTGTTAGTAAAATGCATATGTGTGTGACTTAATTTTCTTTTAACCTTAAAAAACTGTTTGTGCAGATGCCAGTTACTTAACAGTTTCAAAGTATTATGATTGTTAAGGGGCGTCATAAATGCAGTGTTTTTTCAAATTGAGTTGTGATTCTAAAAGGCAGTGTAATATCTTGTGAAGTTCGAGTTAAATATTTTGTAGTATTAACTATTTATGTAGGTAGCTCTGTAATTTCTTTAAAGTGAATGAGTATAAAAAAGCAAGGCACACCGCCAAATTGATTTCCCAGCCCAAAGCACCTCCCCTCCCACCTGTGAAAAAAGTAGTGGTAGGGCTGTGCAGGAGCTTGCAGTTAGATTTACTTGATTTCCAGGCCATGCTATATTTATTTGCTAAATGACTGCAGGCAGGTGTGTTCATTCATTCATTAAACCAGCATCTTCCTGTATGCTGAGCAACCAGGATACAGCAGTAATAAGTCAAAGTATTCCCGCCCTTAAACACAAAGACGGAAGCAGGCCATTTTGTGTTCTGTGAAGGAAATAAGGATGGAGTAATTGACGTGCTCTATTATAGATATGATGGTTAGAGGAGGTACTATTTGAGGTGAGACCTGAAGCAGAAGGAGATAGCCTTGTAGAGAGACAGGAGAGCGTTCTGGGCAGAGATTACAAGAAGAGGAAAGTCCTGGAGTTAAGTAAGAGGCTTCCTGTAGGTAAGAGTGGTTAGAGCACCTTGAGCAAGGTGGGAGAGAGCAAGAGTGAGCATGAGCACTTTTTCCAGTCTATAAAGTGATGCTAATATTGTCTAGAATGATGCTTGCGAAAGTTAAAGGAGAGAAAGTAAACTAGTACATAATGGTCTGCTTAATATAATTTCTTTGTTAGGTCCTTCTCACTTCCCTTGAAGATTTCCTACTCTTTTCACGCATTAATTCACTGTATCATGATTTGTATTTATAAAATTGGCTTATTAGTTTGATTTCAAAATGGAGTGAAAGATGCAGCTAGCCAATTCAGATAAAGAATAGGAGTCAAAATAGTGTAAGCTTTGATTTAGATATAACCAATTCTGAGGTAGTCAACTAAGAGATTACTACTATGTGGCTTAATTACAGGGGTCAGAAGAAGAGTGAAGTCCATCTCTCACTTTAATTGGTTCCCTGGGAGCAAGAGTGATATATTGTGTCCTGCCCCAAATATTTTGGAGAAAAAACGAAGGGCACACTGGCAGTTAAACTAGTAAAGTACATATTAATTAAATGACACTACCTATCAGCAATACCTATCAGCATCTGTTTGTTTCTCTAACAACAATATATGATCTGGTCATTTTTTAAGGGATAAGTACTTTACACATATTGTCTCATTTAGTCTTCTCAACAACTCAGAGGCAGATGGTGTTATCCTCATTTTATAGATGAGGATGATGAGACTCATGTAAGTTAAATGTACCCATAGTTGAACAATAAGTGAATGGTAACACTAAGATTTGGTTTCAGATTTTATTTTCAATGATAAAGCCCATTTTCTTAACACCTTTGGATATCATTTGTAGAGAGCTTTCTAAATAAGAGAGTACTTTTATTATCATTAAGAAGATAATTGAATAGTTGGTAGGATTTCATAAAGATTACTGATGAGCGCAATTCTCAATTAAGGTGACTTTCATATCTTTCTTATCCCATTAAGATGACTAACTAATGTTTTCTATGTGCTAAAATTTCAAATAGGGTAGGGATGCTAGGGTTTTGGTAGTCTCACCTCCACCTGTATGGAAAGAAAAAAAATTGTAAGGTGTTTTGCATTTCAGTAAATGGTAAAGGTGAGGTAGCCTGGGTGATGGAAAGAACAGTGGCTAAGAGGTAGAGGATCCGAGTCCTAGGACTTGTCTGAATGACCCTGGTCAAGCTTCTTAACTTCTGAGCCTCATTCTTTCTTATGTACTAAATGAGAGTGGTTATATCTACTAATGTATATGGGGTTGTTGCAAGGGTCAAATGAGGTAGTTTGTTAAACATAAGGTGGTATTATTCAGAAGTTAGAATTTTTTGTATTCCTGGTGAACTACAGTGTATGTGTAAGGAGAAATAGTTAAATCATTTCTGTAAGTGAAATTTAGTTCATTTCATGCCTATTTAATATTTAATTTTCATTAATTCCATGAAATACACGTTGGAGAAATTGATGCAGAAATTCGAATCAAAGTATAATAAATCCTTAAATGTATGATATACTTGACATGTTTTATACCCTGGTGGGAAGAAGGGCCTACTGGTTCAGTTAGTCTGCACACCTAACGGTGTCAGGGTTTCAAGAGTGAATAATTTTCACTCCCTGTGTTTATGTATTGTGAATCCTTTGTTATATTATGATGCTTAACCATAGGGTTCGTTGGTTAAATAGGTTGCTTAAGGAAATAGTTTTCCTTTGAGTAATAATTTCACCAGAAGATTGTAGTTTATATGTGAGAGTAAGCTTTAGTAAGCTTTTATGGGTTATCATTTGTTATGGATAACATATAATAAATTAGTCTTAAATAGTTCTTCATGATTTAGTTTTTGAAAATTTTTCATCAATACCCTATTTTTATTAGTTAAATTACTTTTATTAAGCCACTCGGTCTCTGCTTCCTTGTTTGTAAAATTAGGGGTTGGATTTCATGATCTCTAAACTCTTTCCAGCTCCAAAGTTTAAGATTCTAACTTTGAGTTTCCCTATAAAACCAACTCAAGGATCAGCCTTCATATTACTCCCTTGTCACCCAGGTGATTAGATCATGACAACTCACAAAGAAGATAGAGAAGCAGAATAGATTGACTACCTTAGACTTACATGATCATATTTTAAAATTGTTTTTCAGTTACAAAAGATATGTTTGTAGAAAACTTGAATAGAGTTGAAGCAAAAAATTAGTAGTTATTGTATGCCTCTCTTCCTGGTCTCATGCTCCCTCCTAGTATAAATAGGTTCAACCATTATGTCCTTTCAGAACTTTTTTGATATTTTTCATGTGAATACATGTGTGTGTATGTGTATGGAGATTTTCATTCAACAATAGAGTGCTTACCATGTGCCAAGAAATATTTTAAGTAACAGGAGAATGTGGTGAACAATTTGTAAATATGTGGAACAGGAAATCTCTCTTATGGAGCTTATATTCCTGGGGGTCGGGGGATGTAGTGGGATGAGAGATGAACAAGTAAGCAGATAATTTCACTTAGTGGTGGTTGCTAAAACAAGGTAATGCTAGTAACTTTTGGGATCATATGCTTTCTTGTTTGATTTAGTTCACTTGAAGAAACACTTAAGTTTCTCCTATTCATTTATGCATGTTTTAGCTCACTCAGATTATTTGCGCACCTACCATGTGCCAAATAGTACTAGAGGATCAGTATATACTTTGAACTGTATGATTGACACTCCCTCAGACACATTATCCCCCTGACCCTGACATTCTCTTCTTTTTCCTAAAAATGTATGTGCTAGCTAGCCTTCAGAATTGGGATTTGGTTACCATGCAACAGAGTTTCAGATTTATATATCATGACTTGGGAAACATAACTTTAAAAATTAGCCACTGTAAATTTGAAAATGCCCTCTGGTAAAACTTACCACAAAGTATACTCTATACAAAAGAAATAGTTGGGTAATACCAATACTAAGTGGTAGTGTGTTGAACATTCCTTTCACCTTTTTTATATTAGAATTTTCTCATTTTGGGAATTCCTCCTTTAAGAAAAAAATCACAATTTTAATTTAGATTTCATTTCTTGCACGTTTCTAGAAGTAATTAAAAAAAGGAAGAGACATGAAGAATGAATTTGCCAAAAATGTGCATGTTATAAATCTGAACATTTATGATTGTGGTTCAGGATGTTCTAGAAATATGCTTATGACAGAAAGTTTTGTTTTTAAAAAAGTCATCTCCATATGTCCCTTTTTTCATATTCTGTAGCCTTAAATGATAATAGCAAACATTTATTGAGAATTTTCTAGATGTGAACACTTTATATTAATTTTCATGAGGGTAACTGCTAAAATTATCCCTGTGAGAAAACTGAAACAGAGCGAATAAGGTTACAAATGGTTGTCCAAGGTCACACCTACTAAGTGTTGGAGGCAGTATTTGAATCCACAATCTGACTTTAGAGTCCACAGTCTTAACCACTAGCAGCAATAGAATTTTTTATGTTTTATCTTATTCTTAGCTTTATTTGGGCAAGTTAAGTTATTTGTAACCTCTGGGCCTTGGTTTTTGCATGTCAAAGAGGGGAAAGTATATCAGCTTTACTTCCAGTCAGTGATGTTTGTGGGGAACTAACATGGTAATGTCTATAGAAATGCTTTGGAGAAATTTGAAGTGATATGTAACTCTATACTTTTAATACTGTAAGTTAGAATTCCGCAGCTATAGTAGTCTAATTTAAGCAGCATGTGTTCAGCACAATGACATGTCCTGTCAATACTGTTAATAAGTAATAGAAGAGTTGGTTAAATTTATAGTCCTTATCAGTATTTCTAAACCTTTCTCTCAAGCTGTCCTAGCAGATAAAAGAGAGTTAACTTTTGACATTGCTTAATTAGTGCTTTCTTTTTCTCTAGGACTGAAAAAGAATGTTTTTCTTTTTGCAGCTATATTAATTTAATAAGTAGCACAACTTGAAACTAGATTTTAGCCTTGCTTACCACCAGAAGGTAGATTTTCTGATAGGAAAGTCAGAAATGGGATACATTGCTTTAATCCAAAATAAAATACTGAGTTTATGGCAGTAAAACATTTCCTAAGAATGTGGATGGGTCTTAAAGTAAGCTTTTGTTAATATTATCTGAAGAACAGACAGTGCATGCAGTAGGTAAAAAAGGATGGCTTGTCACATGATGTTCTTCAGCTAGTTTGTAAGATATCATGAGTACTGTTGTTACCAGAGTGGGAAGATGAGTTGTGTACTGGTGAATAGGCAGTAGATTGAATGGGGATAATCAAGAGAATGGGAGGTATAAAATAATAAAATGAATTTGATAAACAGGATATTAAAACTATACTAGTTCAATTAGAAGGAATTTTTTTTTTTTTCCTTTTTGTCTTGTGGGATCCGAACCCTTGGCGGGAGCGCCGCTGCACTTCCCAAGCGGCGCACTATAGCAGTGCGCCACCGGGCCGGCCCCCAATTAGAAGGAATTTTTTTTTTTTTCCTTTTTGTCTTGTGGGATCCGAACCCTTGGCGGGAGCGCCGCTGCACTTCCCAAGCGGCGCACTATAGCAGTGCGCCACCGGGCCGGCCCCCAATTAGAGGGAATTTAAAGTGCATTAGGATCTACAGTCTTCTAGATAATTCATATGAAGCACTTAATGAAATTTTTATCCCATTTTGCATTTGAAACTGTGATTTGTTCAGACCAGAGCTGTCCAATAAAGATAAAATACAAGTTACATATGCAATTTTAATTTTTATAGTAGCCACATTAAAACATAAAAAGAAACAGGTGAAATCAATTTTAATAATAGATTTTATTTAATCCAGTATAGCTAGAGTATTATTTTGACATACGATCACTATAAAGTTATTGATGAGCTGTTTTATGTTTTGTTTTATTTTTTGTATTAAGGCTTCACAATCCAATGTGTACTTTACACTTGCAGTGTATTTCAATTCAGACCTTTCTGTGCTGAATTGAGTTTTAAGTGCCCAGTAGCCACATGTGGCTTGTGGATACCCTGTTGGACAGCACAGGTCTAGACCACCCTTAGATGTGAAGTTACATTGTTGGTTTGAGATCTAATGGCTACTAATTTTTGAGTGCTTACAATATGCCATGCATTGTGTTCTCTTTATTTTCAATAAATCTTTATATCTCCATGATGTAGGTTTTATTGTTATTTTACTGATATAACAATGAGGTATGGAGATATTGATTTGTCTAAGGTTAAACAGGTAGTCTGTAGTCGAACAGGATTTAAAACGAAATCTGACCCTGAAACCTTTGTCCTGTTCACCTATATTGTACTGTTTTAAAGCACAGCCACTTAGGGCTAGGGCAGGTAGGTGAGTGAGATTTATTCAACCACTGCTCAGCATTTTTGATTCACTCCTGTGACTTAGAGTTTAATTACTACATATTTTAAGGCACAAAGGGTTTTTTTTTTTTTTTTCCTTTTTGTCTTTTTTCGTGACCGGCAACGGATCGCAACCCTCAGTGTCACGCCCGTACCGGACCGGGACTGGCAACGGGATCGCAACCCTCGGTGTTGCGCCCGCACCTCGCTCAGCCAGTGAGCGGCCGGTCTGTACGTGGGATCCGAACCCTCGGCGGGAGCGCCGCCGCGCTCCCAAGCAGCGCACTGGAGCAGTGCGCCACCGGGCCGGCCCAAGGGTTTTTTGCTTAAAGCGGAATTGGTACCTCCCTACGTCCTCATTCATTCGTCATTGGAAGTGTTCCTTTATACTTGCTTCACCATCTCACTTTGTAAACTGCTTTCTACAGCTCTTCAAACTAGACTTGGAGAAGGGTGAGATAGCCTTTTGAGTCTGGCACATGACTGTAGCAGGAGATAAAGGAAAAGTCAGAGCCAGTTGGAAAAAGTGAGAACTACTAACTAGTAAAACTTTTTTGAGAGTAAGGAAATTGTAAGGGTTTCAGTATCTTACCATGAGATTGGGAAGCTCTCATTTATTATGGTCTTTGAATTATAATATTATCTCAATTCATTTTTAGGGTGTTATTATATGGTAGATTTATACTTAGTAGCATTTCTTAATTAATTTGAATAATTTGTTTGAATTGCATTTGGATTCTTAGCAAATATTTGCTCACAAAGACAAGCTGTTTAATTCCAAAAGGAGGGCCGAGCCCGTGGCGCCCTCGGGAGAGTGCGGCGCTGGGAGCGCAGCAGCGCTCCCGCCGCAGGGTCAGATCCTACATAGGGATGACCGGTACGCTCACAGCTCTCATTGGCTGAGCACGGTGCGGCTG